CTTTGTTGGGAGGTGCATTTACTCAAAAAGTTAGCTGGAGATGGTGTTTTTACATCAATGTGAGTTTTATATTCAGTCTCTACAGTTTCTACATTCCTCTTCGCCAAATTTTCAGGAATGTAAATACTAATCAAGGATGAACAGTTACCAATTACAGGAACAGTTGCAATAGCACTATTTTTCTTCCTCCATCTCGACAATCCAAAAACACCAATATGGGATGGCTTAAAGGCGGTGGATTGGCTTGGAAGCTTACTTATCATTGGTGGTACACTCATGGTTCTTCTCGGACTCGAATTTGGAGGCGTCACAAAGCCATGGGATTCGGCTACCGTCATCTGTCTCATAATTTTTGGAATAATCGTTGCAGGACTCTTTGTGATCAACGAATGGAAATTCGCTCGATATCCACTCATGCCCCTTCACCTGTTTAAACATCCTTCTAATGTTGCAGCTTTGGGAGTTTGTTTCTGTCATGGATTCGTCTTCATTTCAGCTTCTTATTACCTTCCGCTTTATTTTCAAGCAGTTCTTGGAGCTACTCCTCTACTTTCCGGTGTTTATCTACTACCATTCGCTCTTTCATTATCTTTGACATCGGCGGCAACAGGTGTATTTATTAAGAAAACCGGCAAATACCTTCCACCTATTTATTTTGGTCTCACGGTTATGACTCTTGGATTCGGTCTATTTATTGATATCCCACGTACCGATAATTGGACTAAAATCATCATCTATCAAATCGTCGCTGGTATTGGTGTCGGACCAAACTTTCAATCTCCACTTATTGCCCTACAAACCTTGGTTAAGAGAGCAGATATTGCAACAGCAACCGCCACATTTGGATTTACGAGGAATTTGAGCACAAGTATTAGTGTAGTGGTAGGAAGTGTGGTATTTCAGAATGAAATGCAAAAGAAAAGCGCGGAATTGGTTATGGCTCTAGGAAGTAGTGTTGCTTCAGAACTGAGCGGTGGAAGTGCGGGTGCTAGTGTGGATATTGTTAAAGGATTACCTGCTTCTGGAAGAGAAGTTGCTAGAAATGCGTATTGGGAAAGTTTAAGAATTATGGTAAGTTTGTCTTCTTCGGCGCATCTTTAAGTGTGTCATTTTTGGAGGGACAAGAGAAGCTAATATGGAATATAGTGGATTATATACGTAGCATTTGCAGCGTTGGGCTTAGCAATTAGTTTTGCCGTTGGCCAACATGTGCTCAGTAAGGAACATGAAATTACGAAAGTAGGATTGGGAGAACAAGAGAGATTAAGGTTGGAAGCTAAGCAGGCGAAGAAAGCGAAGGACGTAGAAGCTGGAGGACAAATTATGCAAGGAAATAAGGAGAAAGGTCTTAATTGAAGAAAAGAAAAGTGTATGGATTGAGGAATGCGAAAGCTGAAAATTTCGTCGTTTATTTGCATAGCGGGCGTGGATCTGAGTTTGCATTGCATTCTAGAGTTGGATCTTGCATGGTATGATAGGTAATGGTTTGCATTATATACCCTTATGATATTCATGGGCAGTTGTACTTTGTAGATTATGGATGGTTAATGGAAATGGATGGTTGATGGTTGATGGTTGATGGTTGATGGTTGATGGTTGATGGTTGATGGTTGATAGATGATAGATGATAGATGATAGATGATAGATGATAGATGATTGAATCATGAATAATTTTATGAGTAATAAAGAAGAATGGAAATGGAAACGGGAAATACATACGCGAGATTCTTGAATATAATGAGATTTTAGTTTAGAATTTGGTTTTTTATTATTGATTTGTTGATTTGTGATTGGATGTATGTTTTTTGATGTCTAGTGAGATAATGAGGAGGTGAAGGGATGGGGAAGTTGGGATGAGGATGTGAGAATGAGGATGTGAAGAGGATAGGATTCTGGGATTAGGAGGATGACACTGGAGGTGTTATATGGATGGGATGGGATGGGATGGGTTGGTGGGATGGGATGAAGATGTGAGGATGTGAAGATGTGAGGAGGTGAGGAAGATGGGATTAAGAGGCTAATATTGATGGAGGTGATGGATGGATAGGATGGGTGGAGGAAAAGGATAGGGGAACGGGTAAGGAAGGTGGTAGGGATGTGAGGAGGTGAGGAGGTGATGGATGGATAGGATGGGTGGAGGAAAAGGATAGGGGAACGGGTAAGGAAGGTGGTAGGGATGTAAGTAGGATTTCTTGATTATGAATCGGAATTGGGGGATGGGGGATGAGAGTGAGGATGAAGATGGGGATGAGAGAAAGAATCAGATATAAAATATATAAATCTAAAACCGAGGGAGGGATGAGGGATTAAAAATTAAAGATTAGAAACAGATGATGAGGTTGAAGGATAAGAATATTAAAAGCAAATTTATCGCTGTATTGTTAATTATTTATAAATCGTGAGTATTAGTATAAATATAAATATAGTCCGTATCTAATATTAACTCATACCCAAGGAATATATATATTAACAGCTGATCTAGATTTCTCGATATACCCACCATCAATTATAAGATTATATATAAGTGCTTATAATAAATACAGTTTTTAATCTATAGATTGAGGTGATGTTATGGTTCTAGATTTGAGAAACGTTAATAGCCGGGTGTTGTGCAAGACAAGCGATGAAGAGAGGCTTGTTTATTATTTATTGTTTATTGTTTAACTTTGAATCTTATTATTATAATAGTTATTAAATATTGATGAATACAAATAGCTGCTTCTGAGATACTGAAATAGACAATATTAAATTCTCGTAAATCCCAAGCTTGGGTTTTGGATTTTGTGTCATTGTTATTGCTATTGCTATTGCTATTGAGTGGAGATTGATGGTTTCTGTGGTTTTTGCGGTTGATATATCTATCCGGTATTACTCGTATTACATAGATCTATATATAATCTTACAACAAAACCAATATACTCGTATAAGAATAAATATCCCGTACAAGTTATTTTGTATGTAAGGATGTTTATATGAATATAGTAAGAACGTAGATCTTGGGGATATTGGGAGGGCTGTTTGTTAGGTTTGTTAGTGTGTATTTTTTGAGAGTAGTAGTGCAACGGGAGTGTGAGATGATTGAGAGATAAAAGGGCTGATTAAGAGATATATTGTAAGAATTGCAGATGCTGGTTAATATTGATTCTGTTTTCTAGCTTGGGGGAGGGATGCAAGAGCAGTTGGCTGTGATTTTGAAGTTTTACTGTAAATAAGAAAGAATAGTGTGTATTAGGAGTTGGGTTGAATGAATATCCCGTTGTTTTTAAATATCAGGGGTATAGATGGTGTTTTAGGAAATTATAATCTTATGATATTGATGATGAGAGATGATGCTAGCACTTGGTTAATTTGAGGACATCTGGACTTCGCTCATTATAAGAAATAAGTGTTGATATACTGTATATGTGGTGTGACTACTCAATCCCATACGGGTACGAAGAGTGCTTAATGGTCCAATCTTCTAGCTTGGATATTGATAGAAGTTTCTAGCTCTTAAAGTAAGTAAACCTAACTTAATAGTACTAACTAACAAATACTAGGCATGAAGATAATTTTTAAAGTGACGAGTAGAATACATGTAAGATTACTAAAAATGCCTCAAAAGTCCCCTCCACGAGATACTATTAGTATCATCATATCCCCTGGCTTCAGGTTTTACAGTCTATAATTCAGGGAATCCAGACATGCGACAAAAGTTTAAGAGTAGAATGATTCACTTATATCTGGATGGAATTGAGTGTGTCTACTAGTACACATCATTTATGGTAAGATTACTACTTGGAAGAAATTGATTATATGGTCATAGGCTCGGATCGAACTCAGGAGCGTGGCTGGATATCTTTTTGTCTGTTAATGACTATGCTATGCTTGTAGATTAACATGTGACTTCGTGACGAGTGTTTTGTGGGAATATGTTCAGATTTGTAGGGCTCATAATCGACTCTCTCCTGGATGTTCAATTTATGAATTGAGGAGGATGACTGATGATTGATATGGCAGTCCATGGCAGATGATGCTGCTTTCCTATGTGCATTATGTCGTTCCTTTTGAGGTTCGAAACAATCTACAATCTACCCCAGCTCTTCTTATTTCTTCTGTTCTGACACTGTCACAATAAGGGTGTTGCAATTGAGGTTCAACCCCTCTCAGCTACCACATATCCGATCATTTTTGATTTCTCCTTGCTACTGTACTGATTTGACATTCAATCCAGTATGAAAATTAACATTTGGAAGACTGATTGGGAAATAGATTTCAAGCTTGTATTTACAAAATAAAATCTAGACGATAGGTTACTAGATTATACGAGACCTATACCTGATGTGTGCGGCGTAGGTATCCTTCTTGGCCGCATCGTAAATCTGAGGTTGTATCTGCAAACCTCCCCAAAACAATAAAGATTTTCAGAACACTGGTATGCCTGCCTCACTATCTGATAGAGATTTCTTATTAAAAAAAAAGCAAATTTGGTATGAATATCATCCAAATATCACTTGATGTAATGATGGAATGCTCATATGATGTAACATGGCACATCCAAAAAAGAGAAAACAATTGCAAGCACCGGTATACTTTCTTTCACTTGCCAAAGAAATAATTGTAAGTCCATAAAACTTATACAGACCTAAACAAAGATAATAAGCTCGTCTTCGAGACTTCAGTATATGGCAAATTAAGAGTATTAAAGAGGAATACGGGATATCCGATCAAGAGATCAGGAACAAGGAGAGAAGAAAGCTGTGAACATAAGGGATGTAGGAGAATGGCGGGGGCAGCGGGGAAGGATTGAATTCATTCCTTATTCTCCCGTGGAAAGACTATAATCGGAAGCCTGTAGTCGTTGGGTAAAGTAGAATTTGGTTGAGTAATTCATTCCGGTGCTCATGTTGACCGGCGTTCAAGTCCTTTAAACAGGTTGATGAAGATGTTTGTTTGTTATAGATATATAAATTAAGAAATCGCCAAGATTTAGCATACACACCGCAAATAACTATCGGTTTGGCATGTTGCCAGAGTGGTTAATGGGTAAGACTTGAATGAATAATTCGGTTATCTTATGGTTTCGGCCTCGTAGGTTCAAATCCTGCACATGTCGTGGTGTAACTTTTTGGTGTTTATTTTTGGTTCCACAACTGAATTAAACTTTTAGACCGATAGATCATTTATCGAACCAAGCTCCAACAAAATGATTTGGAAGATGGAAATTTGAGGAGTTCGTGACAACGGTGGATTCCTATGGGGCTATGATCAATTCCTGCATGCCCAGCCCCGCATATTACAGCGGAGTTGGTGGGTGGAGTGAGGTGAGTGCTTAACACCGTCGCATGAAAAGTTAAACACCGAAATATTGAGTAGTGTAACTGGATGTTACCTACCAATCAATGTTTTGATGTCGCCATCTTGACGCGGGCGTTAATGTTTGGGTCGGATTGTTGCTTCAGTTGATCATGTTCTGATGATGGCTTAGTTCGTTCATTTCCTGCTTTGGAGGTGGATGGATGGGAATAGATTTGTGCCAGCGCAGAGTAGGAATTGAACTGAGCAATAATATAACTATCGGTAGTTCTAGATTGAAACTATCGCTTTTATTGCTTCATGATATCATATTGTTCACCGATGGCCGGCGTTAGTTGCTGGCTGGCTCTGAGAAGTCCGAAGTGTTGCATCGCATGGTCATCCGTTACATCCTCTCTCATTTTGTCGACAAGGGCAGAGAAAAGACAGAGAATATTCCATGATATATGTGCTGTATGCGATTAAGCAAATCTAGCATTTATGAGTTAATTCCTCTTCTATTAGACAGAAACAACATAGAGAATATTCCATGATGTATGTGCCGTATCCGTAGAGACAAACCTGGCAATAGTTCTTGAATCCCTCTTGTATTAGATACGTTCACTGGTGCTAGACAACTTAACGCGATGACCAGGTCAAAATGAAGTCTTAACATGGCATGATGTAAATACCTAGTATATATATATAACCCTTATAATTCATTCATATCTCTACCATGGACTCCCAAGATTCGATGAAATCCGGCCATTTTGATGCGACAGCGAGCACAATAAATAATTGGAGGAATGTGTATAACAGGACGCTCCAGGTACAAGTCATGCAATCAATCACTTCGCACATCGTTCGAGATATGATAGATAGCATAAAGAAACCTCAAAATTATTACTATGTATAAAATAGATATGGATCTTGTTCAGAGTGAATACAATTTTCAATTGAGTGGTTGTAGTTTTCAATTAATTTTTTTGTATTATTGTATATATATATATATGTATATGTATTTAATGTTTACATTTGGTAGTGAGGTTATGAATGATCAAAACGCGATAGGCATTTGCTGATAACGTTGATGGATCGGCTTTCGCGAACTTTGATTTTTTGATCTGTCTTAACAAAACAAACCAATCCACGAACAATTCCTCTCCCTTCCCTCACCTTACCACAACTTCTCGACAACGGTCTTCTAATCAACCATATCCCTATCACCTTCAACAATCGTCATCATGGCTGATGCCGAAATGGATGTCGATGCGCCTTCATCACCGCAAGAGCAACGAAATGAATCAAAGAATGCCTCAATGACAACTCACTCCAATGCGACAGCTGTACGATCTATCGAAGGCTGGATTATCATCGTCACAAATGTACATGAAGAAGCTAGCGAGGAGGATTTGAATGACAAATTCGCAGACTTTGGAGAGATCAAAAATCTTCATTTGAACCTTGATAGAAGAACTGGATACGTCAAGGTGAGTTCCCTCATGCAATTACATTTCCCATGGAAGCTTTTCGATCAATTTGGGCATTTATCGCATGGGGATTTGTAAGATAAATTTAGACAGCTAACTCAAAGTATCTGCAAAATAGGGTTACGCATTGATTGAATATCCAACTTTGGAAGAGGCAAGGGCAGCTATCGATGGTGCGCATAATACCAAGTTGCTGGAACAAACTGTGGAGGTAGACTTTGCATTTGTTAGACCGCCACCAGGAGGAAAAGGTCGAGGAGGTCGGGCACCTGCCAAAGGTAGAGCCAGAAGCCGATCCCGTAGTCCCAATGGTAGAGATGGAGGCGATTGAATGAGTGCAGGTGACGATATTGTGCCACGTTAAAGGTTAATGATTCCTAATCATAAAACAAGGAGCGGTGGAAGAAATCTGGGGAAATTGCAGGGGAAAATGGAAGGAATTTGGAAAAGTTACTACTTTCGTTATTACCTACCTACTTCATTAAAAGCCGATATGTTTTTAATGGGAAAGACATATCGGCGTATATCCAAATCATTACGATTGTAAGTCATGTCATCTGTCCACCTAATTGCCTTGGAATTTTGGGAAGAATGTTACTGATGATCTATATTTAGCAATTGAGATACCAAACACTTAACTTACCATTGAATTTTTGTCTGATTTCTTCCAGCTTAACGAATTTGAGGCTTGCCAGATTTTGATCGTTACATCTCCGAAGTTTTCATTAATTTGTTGGACATCGCCGAGACCCAACATTTCTTCAAATTCCTCTAATGCAAAGCATTCTTTTACCAAAACAGTAGTCTTCGCAGAAAATTAGAGGACCCTACTCACATCTTTCCAAGAACTTAGTGGACCCTACATTCAGAAGAAGAAAAACTTTCTTTTCGATCTGGATAACCTTGTACAGTGGGCTGACATAGAATGATGTGAGCGAACCTCCCCCTGGCGCTACATACATAACCTTGACATTTCACCAAAGATTTTGTTTCTTCTACAGACAAGGCCTTATCCGAAATTCCCATCATACCCTGACACCCACCTTCTAGAGATCCTTGAATCCTAGAGTCATATGCACGCATATCTGTCAATATAACAACAACTCTCCGACAACATTTTAAACAAAACTTGGTTTACTATATAAGTACCTGTATCACCAGACCTTGGATCCTCATACTACTTCATTTTTGTACACTTTACATATTTACACCGCTACACACATAGAAGATCACAGAAATATCTTGATATATATTTAATACTTTCATTACACCATTGTATATTATCTTACATCCTCAACAACTCATACCTTTATCACCTCGGTGAATTAATACCACAATGGCTCGTACATTTTTAGAAACTCTCCCAAGAGAGATTCGCGATCAGATATACGGTTACGTTCTATCATCACACTCAAGGAGTGTATACCTATCCGAAAGTGTCATCAATGACCCCGATTACCCTCAAGAAGAATACTCGGCAGCTGGAAAGCCTCCATATATCATTCGAACTAAATCCCATGGCGAAACCATACGCCTTTCCTTTTTACGAACTTGTCGACAAATCTATCATGAAGCCAAAGTTGTTTTCTGGGAACAGAATTCACTTATCCTTGATGGTATCCTACCTCGAACATATATCGATCACCCCATATTAGGCAGACTACCAGGTTCGATAGCCTCGATGGCTACTTCCGTCGAGCTCAAGATAGATATATTAGGTCGTTCAGCCTTTCGTAGGAAGTCTGAATTGTGCGAGGATAGTCCCTCTCTTGTTCCATTCGAATATCAATTGAAGGATCTTGCAAGATGGCCAAATTTGAAGCGAATAAAGTTACATATGAGTCTTGGTGAAGACCCATGGGGCAACTATGATGGATACGGTCACAGTGGATTCGCAAGATTACTCTACTGGAGACTTAGAGGTGGATCAAACGATCATTGGCATAACTTGGTCCGATCAAATATCAAAGCATTAGAAGAAGCCGGCGGAAAAGATGGTTATCTATCTCATGTCAAGAAAGAATTGGACATCAACACAGGCTGCGCACTTCCCAATGGCAATGGCTTCCCTCAACGAATGCTGAAGATGTGTACTGGATCTCCAGGTGAAGTTTTACAAGAATTAAGTGAGGCATGGTTTGGTACTCTATTTGTCGATGGTAGACTATCTTACCTCGAGGGTGAAGAGAAAGAAGATATGTTCGTTCAACAACCCGCACCACGACTACCTATGCTCGACCATTTCTTCTTCTTCAAATATGACATTGATCGTTGGGTGGATGGACAATCAGGTGTAAGGTTATGGGGAAAGGCAAAACAGATTTGGCCAGCAGGGGATGAGGGTAAACAGGCAAGAAGAGATGCTTGGGAGGATTCGGGAAGAATGGGTTGTTCTTTTGATGTTATGCGGGAAATTCATTGGCCTTGGAAACAAATGTCACCTCCTGATTTTGTTCCGTAGGTTCTTGATTTTTGGGTTCTCAATTGTTCATGTATTACGAATTTTCTTATCATTGTATCACTTATTATGAAATATATCCTCAGCTAGGCGTTGTGGAATTTTGCTTTTACAGCTTTTACGAATACATCTAAATTTACATCTACATCTTCACTACAACACATTCTGCCCTATTCACCGCAAATTGTTTTTTTTTTAATTCTCTTCAGAATCTCGCGACAGTACCATTACCAGTTCAGTATCCGAAACCGGTAACATCCATGATCCATCCAGCAGTGCAAACAATCCACGTACATACATAGATCCATACATACAGCTGCAGTCAGCGCTATCGAATGCGGGGTAAAATAAATACCAATTGATACAAAGGTTCCCCTTGAAGACTGGGCTTATTCATATTCGCCACTAAGAGTCGGAGACCAATGGGCGAGAAGAGCCAAGAGATTATTGGGTTGTGGGAGGGAATATGAATGGCGGACCCGAGTCGATCTCGTGAGACGGGACGAGGATGAGACGGGGATGAGGATGAAGATGAGACGACGAGGATGAGGGTGAGACATTTTGGGGCGGGGGGACTGGTGTTGTGGTTTTGTGATAGGATGAGATGGGATTTGTTTGGAGGTTTATGATGTTTATGAGAGGGTTAGGGTATGGCTTAGGAGAGCTATAGGATTGGTGGTGAATGGTGCTATGAAGGGAGTGAAGGATAAGGATATGAATAAGGACATGCATTCCTGCATTTGCAGACGCAGACGAGTAACATACCTAGTACTCGTAGTAAAGCGCCAAGAATATAGCGACAAATCCAAGAATTAAAACGTGGGATTTTTGAAAGAGGGAATCTAGACGGTAACAAGGCGTGGGCGAGATGAT